GCACACACTGCACACCAGGTGTGAACAACCCTGTGCGCACACTCTGGAGCTGACAGCGAGTGTCCACTCTGAGCTGGACAGGGAGGTGCCAACAGGACACGAGTCTCAGCTGCCCTCTGCAGACAGACCAGCTCTGTGTGTCCACTGGCCTCTGACACAGGTGTCACGCACAGCCCTGCCTGGCCACACTCCTATAAACCCCCCCCGGGCGGAGAGCGGCCTCCTGTCCCAGCACACGCAGCGTTCCGAAAAGCTCCGCTCCGGGCCTGACAGGAGCCAGCGGCTCAGCGCCGGAGGAATTCTGGATGCTGGCGAAGGCGGAATGAGACGCAGGCGGTCCGGTTCCGACCCCAGACTCTCGCGGAGCCTACGTGTAGCGATCGATAGAACACGAACCTCTTAAGATCGTGTTTTTCTACATTTAAAACCTCAATACGAAAAAAATCATAAAATAATTAGAAGTAATAAAGGAATCATTAATTATTGTAATCAATTATTAAACACAGGAGTTAAAACCATTTTTTTCCTTTATGTAATTACATTATATTTTTTGTCTTTTGATTTTTAATTTTTTTAAAATTTTGTTTTGTCTTGTAAGAAAACGTCATGAAAGGTACATCCGCACTGTCAGAAGCTATACAGGGAGATCTATGTACAGGGAGACCAGCAGCAGGAACGGGACTGGGGCTTTTGCTGGAATGGAATGGCTGCCTGTTAATCCGAGACCCAGGTCATCCTGAACACTGCTCAGCGCATTTAAAACACAGCCTGGGGTTTCGCTTGAGAAAGCTCACTCTTGATTGTTTCGTTAGTTAGGTGCTGGCCTGGTACCGCGCACTCTGTGGAGTCTCCCTCCCCCCCCAGGCCTCGCCCTGCACAGGGGTCCCCAGCTGGCTCGAACCCCAGGCCCTGGAGCAGGCCACAGGCAGGGACTCGCTGGGCTTCTGGGCACGCCGAAGACTGAATGAGGAGACTCAAATTGCTTTTTTAAAATCCATATTCTGACATTAAAGTGACATAGCAGGAAGTTTCCTGTGCCAGTATGCAGCACCCTGAGCCTGGCACCCTGACACTGACACTCCTCTGACACCCTGAGCCTG